GCGCCATGTCCGCGGGGGGCTGCGCAGGTGCCGCCGCCGCCGCCGCCGCGCCCGGAAACGTGCTGCCTAGGGACGGTCTTGCCTTGCTGCCGCAGGAGCTTGGAGTGAAAACATACTGGATTATTTTCTGAGGTCAAACCGCATTCGAACAAGAGATGGGGCAGAAATCACGTGGTATCACGCGGCAAACCAAAAGTCGCAAATGGAAGAGGCCATCAAAAGTAAGTGTGAATACAGAGGAATCATATCTACTGTGGTGGCTGCCTTGTTGGAAATAACGTTTTCCAGTGTTTCTCTAACCCGAGTTTGTTGAGGTAGCATGGATAACTGTCCACGTGCCCAAGTATTAGACTTGAGTAGTTCAGTTTGGAGAAGGCAGCGGGCTGCCCGGCGTGGAGGCCGTCTTTCCCGTCGGACCTTCAGGTCCGGTCCGCTGTCCGAGCGACAGTCAGGGAGTTGGCATTTAACTTACTGAGTGTCGTTCAACTTACGTGTTTAGTTAAGGACGCAAAACGTCACTGGAGTCTTTTGTCCCCGTTGAGGTCGTAAGGAATACAGAAACTTCTGCTACAGATAAAGTTATTTTCTTGTCATGGTCACACTGAGCTTAGATGGTAGTTTCCCGATACACCCGTTCCTTGGCAGCAGTGATCAGGTTTTTCCAGGTCTGACCTGTTTGTTCTCGTGGTGCGTTGGCCCTTCAGTGGTGCTGACGCTCCCGTTTGCGGATCCACTCCGGAAAAAGGAAAATGGAAGTGATGTGGTTAAAGCTCCATCCATTCATGCACCCCCTGGGTGCAGTTCAGTGCTGATGCTGCTGAAGGGGCAGCGTGCTGTGGAGCAAACGTGCATGTGAAGAAGGTACGGTAACTCCTTGAGCTGGTTTTGCTGGTGAGGCTCCCTGCAGAGCAGTAGCTGAGGTGCTGTTTGTTACCTAGAAGACAGTAGAAGACAGGTGCTTCTGCAGTAACTCCCTATAAAGGTGCTTGCCCTGGCTTTCAGGGGTTTGTCAGGGCTGTACTGCGAAGCTTGGTCCGTCTTCTCAAAGCAGTTAAGGATTCCAAGTAGTTTTGGTCTTATACGGATAGATCTTCTTTGAGTTTTGTTAAAGATGGGTTTGAAATATTGAAATATCCTGGGTAATGTTTCTTGGATTTACAAGATAATGTTATTATTGCTTCCCCTTTCCTTCCTGGTCCACGATGGTTAAAGTACTTCAACTTATTAGCGGGTAGTTTATTTCGGTGAATGTTAATTTGATGTGTGTGAATATTGAGAAGACTGTAAGTTACAATTTGTTTTCTACTGATAATGTAATTATTATCTTTTAGTGGATTTTAGTCTAAGTAACTGTATATGTTTGGATTCTCTGCAAAGCTCGTAGCACTGCCCAGGTTGTCAGATGCTTCTCATTATAGGAAGCTGTTTTCAAGAACCTACAGCATTCCTAAGGTTCCCTTCATTTTCTTGTGTTCCCGCTAGTATTTTCATGGTAGAGCTTTTTTACTGGCTGACTGACTTCTTCTTTAAGTTTTGGCCCAGGTGGGTTGGTCAATCTTGAGAATGAGACAAGGGGAAAATACAATCTTTGCCAGTGTTAACGTTGATGACCTTTTCTCTAAAAGCTTGGGAATCTTACATTAAGAAGAAAAAATTGAAATTTAGCATAAGAAGAGTGAATTCGCATTTTGGATTTTCGTTTTGCTGTACCCCAAGAACCAGCTATAATTGCTTTGATAAACGCGTCTTTAAAAAGCAGCTTTCACTTGCTTGTAGATTTCTCAAGAGTTTAGTGACTGAAGCGTCCAAAGAAATGCTTTCTCTGTTGCTTCACAAACAGCCGTGTGCACTCCACGTGCGATCTTTGTGGAGCAAGCGTGCACAGTCCAACGCAGAAATAACTTTCCTTGTAATTGTGATTCTTGTGATTTTTTAAATAAACAGGTGCTGTTCACATGGTAGAAGCGGATATTCTTCTTCGTGATGACAAGGGAGGAAATGGTGACCCTGTCATGGCTCACCCCCCAGAAACAGATAGTGACAACACATTGCAGGAATGGCTAAAAGAGATTGTAAAGACAAACAAAGGCATCAAGCTGGATTTTAAGAGGTATGTTTAAAAAGAAAAACAAAGATTTGTGTATACTTTACATGCTTGCTAATTAACTGTTTTACTGGTTGTGCTAATTATTTGCTGGTGCCAGTAGAGCAAATTTTTTTTTTTAATGTGCAATTTAATATAATATACTTACTGAACAGAACATACACTGAAATATAATTGATGTTATTGAATTCATTATGAGAATAAATGTTTATTTTTAGTTCTAAGCAGTATTATTGGGTGAATTATTTTTCACCAGAAGAGTATTTTTGACTCATATTTTACTTATCATGGATGAAGTGAAGCTGTTGGTTCTAAAGCTTTAAAGTGTTTTGAACTACAAATAATGATTTCATATTTAATGAACTATATAGCTGTTAACTATTATAGGAAGAGTTAATTTTAGTTACATATATTTCTGATATCTCATGCTTTTCATTCAGTGTTTTGTTCAGTTTTGCCTGTGACTTTGCCCAGCAGTAATTACTTAAACTTTTTTTTGTCAGGCCAAGTGTATCGCAGACTGAATTATTTAAGTGATTTGGCCAGACTAGTTCAGCAGGCTCTGTAATTGAATTTGGAAAAAAAATAGATTATTTGCGCAGGCTGAACATTTCTTAATATTTCTTTCAGTGAGATGCACCAGTGACTCCCTTTTAAGGAGAAGGGGCTTTAAATTTAGTAGAAATGGCTTTCTCAATCAGGAATAGTTTGAAAGCTTATGTAATAAGAAGTGGATCTACTTTTTAGGGTTTTTTTTTTCCCCTTCTAAATGGAGTTGAGCAGTGTCCAGGATGGAGAGAGAAGGCGTGGACAGTTTGTCCCAGAAAAGTTCATGCAGAACTCGGAGAACGGAGAGAACTCAGAAGTCTGTTCGTGCAGAGTTCAGAGAAGTTACACATCTGCAGAGAAAAACAGCTGTTACAACACAGCAGCTTTCCATACAGCTAGCTTTAAGAGTTATATGAAGAGACTTCTGTTTGATAATTCAACAGTTACCATCAGTAGCAATTCAGTTTTAGTTAGGATACATCTAGAAACCTTTTCCACAAACTGCTCTCTGGATTAGGGTTTCCTTGTGTTCTCACATCTTGCAGCAAAGGGTCTTGCCCACATCCTTCCATCTAGTAGAAAGTGAGCTCCTTCCTAGGACCCACACAAGGATTAATAATCAGCAGATGTGCTTAGAAGTTTTCTGTCAAAACTCCCTTTTTTACAAATCCAAATTTTTTTTATTGGAAATAAAATTTGCCTTGAGCAAAGTTTTTTTTTTTTTTTTGTGGAAACTGAAATGATAGTGCCTATCTGGAAAGCTTGTTTCAGTTTTCTTTTCTGCTTGCACAAAGAAATTGGAAAAGACAACCTTAGAGCTAGGAAACTGGAGAGTTGCTCCCAGGCTGCAAGGGGAGCAGGAGCCCCTGGGTCTCCTCTGCCTGGCAGTGTGCAGGTCTCTGCCGCAGTCACCCAGGTTTCTCAATGTCATTTGCTCCCATGGGAGGGGAATGAAAATGTCGGGGCCTTCCAGGAAGGCTTCTGGTGAAAAGCAAAACCCTGTTCCAGGACTGCTGAAGTTCATATTAATTTAGAAACAGCAGCCCATACCAGCATGAATTTTTATTTTCCCAGAACTTTTTGTTTTTTAAAGAAAGAATTTCTCTTTCCTGATCAGCTCCAATATTAACAAACATTTTGGGCTGTGTCTATTTAAGAAGTAAGTGTAATCCTTTGAATATCTGATCTCAGGCCATATCATTGTCATGTGGTGTTAGATTTTTTCAATATGGATTCTAATATAGAAAGGAAGTTTATTACTTTTTGTATGCTGAAGTATATGTATGTTGAAGAAGATTCATTTTTTTGGCCTGAATTTTTAATTTTAGTTTTGTTGGTTCAGTTGGAATTTTAGCCATGCTGTCTCATAAGCGTTAATGGAAAATACACCTGAAAATCCCATGCGATTGCTTTGAAAAGTTTGAAATGGGGTTTAAAATGAGCTGTGATTTTCAGATATACACGTCTGCAATTCCTAACTTTAGCTTTGCCTGCATATGCATGTACAATGTCTGGCTTTGGAACATTTGGAGAATCCGCTCCCATGTTAAAAAGAGCTTGCTCAAGGCCTCAGTGTGCTACAGAAACAGAACAATTGATGGAGTTGTAAAAGTTGATTTGTGCCTTTTGTCCTGCATAATATGATTACAATTTCACATAAAAGTTTTGTGAAAACACAAGAAATGTGGACAGATTAAATCCTTTTATTATTATGAAATCTGTAGATGTCTACCTGGATGGGGAAGGGAAAGGAGAAGAGAAGTGTATTTTCTTAAAAAATATTTTTTAATTTCATTTTAATTATTGTTTAAAGTCATTTAAAAACAACTATCTCTTATTTTTCCACAAGGAGTTTCCAGCCAAGTGCATGACTTAGAAAAGCTTTTAAAATGATATTACATTGTATGAGTCTAATCATATAAAAGCATTTAAAAATTACAAGCACACAGTGCAAATATATTCAGATGAGTAACACAGGATTTGATGTTCTTTTGGATAATATTTATTTGAATACCATTGCTGAAATATTAAAGATTATTCTGGCAGTGCTTAGAAAGAAATATTTTGTTTTCTTGTCACCTTGACTAACCATGTAATCACATTTCCTGTTGCCTGGCTTTACATACAAAAATGAATATATTCTGTAAAAGGACTTCAGAGTCTCATTTTAAAAATGCCAGAATCATTTTAATATGGAGTGGGCAGTCCAAACTAATTTTCCAAGTGCTGTGCAGTAAGAACACTGCTATAGTCTGGGGTTTTTTTTGTTTGTTTCAGGAGAAGCTACTTGGGGCTTTTTTCTCTTCACCTTATCAGATACTTTGTAGTAAAAAAGGAAAGCAAGGCGTTCCACTGGCTTTGACTTTCTCAGCTGCGTATTAATTCAGGGAAAATTTGAGCTGTTCTGGCCTCAGACAACGTGGAAAATACTTACGCCGTTAATGTTAGCTCAAGCTATTATTTTTACCCTTTGGATAGTATATAAACTTCAGGAGCATATGTAAATAGAAGAAACATATTTAAATTAATGGTAGCATCTGTGGCTTTGGGGGTTCTTCCGTTCGGTGGTTTAATCTAAACTCTAACAGTAGTCAGAGCCTGTTGTGGCTTCCTTTATTAGACTCTGTCCCAAGCTTTCTATGTAAAAAAACTCCAACTCTTAAAGGGTCACAAATGAGAAGAGCTATGAGATATAATTCTCTGTAAATGAAGTGTATTCAGCAGTTAGAGCTCTGTGTTGCGGTATCTCGACAGCATTTTCCAAATATGAAAAGTCCTTCTACAGGCCCTTCCAAGTATAATGTATCCAGCAGTCAAGTAGTTCGTCTAATTTTTGTCCATTGCATCTCGTGGTTGGTAGCAACCAGTTTAAGCATATCTGAAACCCAAGCTATTCCAAAGGTCTGTAGTGGTAACGCTCAGGCTTGCGTGTAGTCTCTTCTTGCGTGTGTTCTCTTGGACGCAGCTCCTGATAACAGCGCCAGCGCTTCGGTGCCCGGCGTGCTTGTGCACCAGTCAGAGGGACGGTCCAATGAACGTCACCGTTCTGAACAGAAAGGGTCAAAAAAAAAGGGAAGAAGCTTAGCTGTGCCCCAGATAGGCTACACTGAAGTAATTTATGAGGAGAGTTACCCCAGTACTCTCTATTGCGATGGAGCAGCTCATATTGGGCAGCAGGGAAAGGTGAGGCTTATGCCTTACTTTACCCCAGCAATTACAGTCAGCCTATGCTAGAAGGGGTCCTCAGCATGTGCTGAAATGCTCTCTGGCTTACTGAGACAGTTTCTTTAGCATATTCATCTGTATACATACTATACATTTTCTGTTCTTAATTTGAGAAGTGCCTCTTATCAACTGTGTGTTACTGATACAGTCTAGAAGCCGTACGGCCTTCTTTGGAGCTTCTGGAACGTGTGAAGCTGCACTTGAGACAACCTGTTTGGATCAATGCAGATGTTCTACCAGGACCTAATGGAAGTAATGCTGTAGTGGATGCAAAAGGATTCCTTGACACTGTCACTTCATTTTTCCCAAATGTAACCTTATCACTGGGATGGACAACTGGCTGGCACCCTGAAAAACACAATAAAGGTAAAGATGGAAACTGTAACACTTGTGCTGTGTAGCCAATTTTGTTCAAATTGCTTTCAAAATTGATTCAAAATAAATTGCCTGTATTTTGTCAGTTGGAAAATAATAGTGATTATAAAAAGAATTATTTTATTGGTGGATGTTTGATGACGTGTGTTATATAGCAGTTAATACAGTGCTTAATTGAAATGCAACAGAACTGTATACAGATCTGATATTTTTGTTGTTTAACTCGTTCTCACATATTGAGGAATTTATTGGGCCAAATTGCTTAAGCCCTGTTTCAGGTAGGGCTACTTCCTGAATTACAGCAGGTTTGGTTTGTTAATTGGAATTCTGGCACATTTCCTGAAGAAAAATAGCGTATTAGCTGGTAATTTAAAACCTATCAAAGTGCTTTTGCATTAGATGACTAAAATTAAATTATACATCAGTACTTTTTAACATTGTGTTTCTGCTGAAAATTTTTCCCCCAAAATTCCAATTAATTGATCTGTTAGTAATTTTTTAAAAGTCAGTTTTGAAAATCTAATTGCAGTTTCTTACTGTTAATCCTTAACTAGAATTTAGATCCTGAACATGGGATCACTATTTTAGAATCTCTTTCACGGACTCCCTCTCATAATTCTCATGGCTGCTGTATTTGGGGTTTAGGGAGCCCAGCACGCATGCGTTTGTGTGCGTTAGCATAGTCTCCATTGAAATCATCTGTGACTGCAGAAACAAAATCCATTCCAAAACCTTCCCAAATTGATAACTGGTCATTAGCAAGATTTAGGATTGCATTAATCATGATTTTGTTATATGGCATGCAGTAATTTTACTGAACTAGATAATACTTTTTCCAAAGTATTTTGAGTGCAGTAAAAAGTTGCTAGACATATGTATTGGAAATACTCTGCCACGTAATCATTTTAATAGCGTTGGTAATTTTATTTTGATGCTAAATTTCAGCTTATGGTGATGCTAGTTAAGGCTGTTTTGTAAGATGCAAGAAAAACAGCTCATTTGACGGATTATAACTACAAGTTGCTGTTTGCCCAAACAAAACCTTTTTTAAGCTTTGGTACTGTTAAGTCTATTCAATCACTATGTTGCATATGATTAATCCAGAAAAAAGGATTAACCGTCATTACTGAAGTTAGGATTTTCATAGCCAGTAGAAACAGGAGAGCCATTAAATGTAATTTCAACTAGTTTTAGTACTTGTAAAAGTCTTAAAAGCTGGCACTCATAAAGTTTTTTACATTGCTTACTTTAGCATTTTTTTAGTAGAAAAAATTTTACTTGCTTCATTTTTGTATTACTTTGTTTTTTATTGCATTCATTCTGAAATCCTTTCTTTTTTTTCCAAAGTGTTTCTGCTTTTACAGGTCCACTATCAAGTTAAAACTAGTCTATACTGAAGTCGAGTCTTTTTTTAGAGTGCAAGCAAAGCTATAATTCCCTGGACGTTTAAAAAAAATCGAATTCTATAGCTGTATTAAAAATAATGTTTTAGTTACTGGACATAAAGATTTTCCAAATAAGTTTCCTTTTCCTGGTTAGTATTGCTTTTTTTCCCTGGAACAATGACATGTTTTGTTTATAATCATTTGGCAATTTCACTTTTAGAGTTATCTGATTTTTCGCAATATTCACATTTGCTTATGTTTGGTCTTAAAACGTAACTGTTCTACAAATCATTGTGTCTTGTTTTGATAGAAGTTGTATCTGCAAAGAATTCTTTTTAATCAAATGGTCTTTATTGTAGGCTATGACTGGATGATGGTGAAAGAAATGGCTCAGATATGCAGTGCACTTTCTCAGCCTGTAACTTTCCCTGTAAGAGCAGCATTAGTACGACAGTCGGTATCTGAGCTGTGCTGGTTATTACAGCAGTCAGACAGGTAAGTTTGAGGGGGGTTATTTTTAGCAGTTTTATTATAAAGGCACATATTTGTTAATATGAAATATAGCACATTTATGTGTACATACTCATCCCAATTACATTGAAAATATTTTTACTTTTTAGTTTATTTCTTGATTTCCTTAGCTCCTTTCGCTGTTAAATTGTTTTGTGTGCAGAAGTGGGGACTGTTCATTTCTGCAAATGTTAAAATTCCAAAAGGCTATTTAAAATGGCTTCATAGGTATTGAACAGTGTATAGGTTTGTAATCCAGTTCCTTTACAAACATTTCGTAGGACTAATATAGTCAAATAGACCGAGTAGTTTGTTGCATTTTGGAATCAATTCAACTTAAATACTTAAATTTTTATATACTTAGTGATTATATTTCATGTAATAATGCGTCTTGAAAAACATCAAAGATGTGATTTTTGAATAGGAAGTTAATGAGTTTGCTAGGAAGCTAATGAATTTTGCTTAGGTACTTGAATACATTCTGTGGTTTCCAAACTGACCCTAGTTTCTATTTTAAAACTGTTTTTACAAGCCCATAATAATTTCATAGGACAATTGTGTTTAAATATATAACGGAATGACAATAAAACCTTCACACATCTGGTCATTTACTCATCTTTTTTTATCTAGTCTCGTTATCTAAACTTTAATAAAGTTGTTTTCAAGCACCAGTCAAGGTGCCCAGTCAAAGCCCAAGACAGAAACTTCAAGACAGTCACTTGTCAGAAGCACAAGTAGTTAGAGACAATACGAAGAGTAGAAAAATAAAATGCTATTGTTCTCAGGTACAGTGGAGAACTGAGAGAGAAATTATGTTTAAACATTTTAAACTTTGGAAAAATCATTTCAAAATATTATTCTGTTAAGAATAGATTTTGTTAATTGTGCCCTTCTCAAACATTTCCTCATTAGATACCAGCATTAGCCTCACTGACATATTAAGATTTACTCTTGTTCTTAGCATGAAAATCCCAATTATGTAGCTGCAAGATTAGAAGACAGAAATTACTGAGCCGGTTTTGCTGACATATATATGACATGCTGATTTACCTGGGTTTTAAATTAATACAATTTGGAGAAAACAAAGCCTTAAAAATCAAGTTTTTATAATGCAGACATTGGGGATAGTATTGTTTTTAAACTTCAAATGATGATTTGAAGTATTTTAGCGTTTTGAGAAAGTTACATTAAAACTTGTGCAATTAATGAGAAAAGCGTAGGTGAGATATTAGGGAAGATACATTCAGTTCATCAGATAGCATCACTACACGTCACATGTGACAAACGTAAAATATGAGACAGTGATAATATCACATATAACTAAGGTTGTCTAATGTGGTCTGTTATAATGCTCTGCTTGTAATTATTTATTATGTTGCTAAACTTTAAATGCACAGTCTGAAATGTCTTGGCTGGATGTCTGCCTAGGATTTTTTTCCTTGCTAGGTTTGGCAGAACAGTTCACATAAGAACCAGGCTAGGGATGAGTGGTGCTCAGGGGTGGAGGCTGTCCATCTCAAAACATTTGCAGTCCTGCTTGGGAAATTCTAGCATGTTTAGGAAAAAAACTTAAAATGGGACTGGAGCAAAATTGTGTGGCTTACCTCTATAATGAGAAGAAAAATCACCCAAATGTGGCCAAGGAATAGAGCTCTGCCAATTTTAGTTTGCGTATGTCAAATAGGTGTTTATGTAGAGGCTAGCAGTCTTATTGTTAAACTAGTCTGTCTGTACTGAGCATTGTGTATGCAAACTAGAATGCGTTTGAACATGTCCATTTTTGGAGTAGTGTGTTGATCCAGCAATTGCTTTTCCCAGTAACGTGAAGTCACTGTGGTAACGAGACATACTCTGTACTGCTAGGGCTCTCCCTTGTAGCACCAAGACTGAGTGGAGGAAGGCTGCCTGAGGGAATGTAGAGGGCTGAGGAGAACGGGGACTTATAAAAGTCTAATTCTGGTAGCTCATAAATTTTGGTTGCGTAACTTTGAAATGTAAAGGAAATGAAGTTTGGTATGTAATTACATTCCAAAATTAAGACACTATCCTGACTGTTTTTAGAAACTTATTAGTGCCATGTCTTCCTGTCTTATATGCTTTAAAATAAGATAATAGCATATCAGTTTAAATTCTTTTTTCTTTTTTTTATATAGGTACAGCCTCACTGTTTGGACAGGAAAGCAAGATGAGTATTCTGTAGAAGATTTGCTTTATACACGAGAGAACTTTGATAAAAGTAGGGTATATTATGATATCTTAGAACCGCAAAACTCAGAATTCAAAAAAGCCTTAGGAATAGAATATTAAATGGGAAGCCAGCAAACTCTGACCTTATAATACTTAACCTCTTTAATGTGAAGGTTTCTTGTTCAGAGAAATGGATTTTTTTGCATTGTATAGAACATATCCATTGATCATGACTTTTTTTTTTTTTTAAATACACTTTATTTAAAGGCTTCTCAAATAGAAATATAATGCCTTCTTTAAAAGGTCAGAATTGTTGTTTGCTCATCATATGCACGTTCCCTCTCCTTCATCCAGTAGCATGTAGTAGAGACTACCCGTGTTTCGTAAATGTTCTCGCACTTGTTCCCTACAAGTATATAAAGGGGAGGGTGCCCCAAATGATACCTGTGAGCCAAGGTAATTTGCTACCAACTACTTTTTTGTAAGCCAGAATCTCTGGGACACTAGACCTCTACCAAAGATTTTATTTTCACCCTTTGCACAGGAGGACGGACAGGGAAAGGAGACTGTAGTAAGTACAGAACAATGAAGGGGTTGCTGAAGGGGTTATTTTGTAGCTCATCTTGATGCACTGCATTTTTACTGCTGTCGTAATTGATGAAGTTCTGACCCTTTATCAAGAGAAGATAGTGTTTGCTAGGTGTTTTTAGTGGGATCCAGGATGATACACACTGAGGGGAGAAAGAATGGTTATGTATTCTGAATTAGAACTAAATTAGTTCTTTGCACTATGATCATTGTGCATTTCACGCCAGGGCTTCCCTCTGTGCTTTCTGAGCCGTCAGCAATATAGTCTTTGGATTGTTAGGAGACTGAGGTGGAGTTGGAGCTGCACTGCAGGAGGCGCTGGGCGTGCAGAACCCCCAAAATCAGGAGAATACTCCTGATAATTGTGCGTTTCTGTGGCTGTACGGTTATTTTCTGTGTTTTCCTGGATTGTACATGTTTTTAACTCTCGTAATACTGTTGGGAAAACTTTTGAAAAGCTGACTTTCTTTGAGGAAAACTAAACTCATTGCAACCCTGTTTATCATCTGCGAGAAGAGGCCTGCCCATTTTCTTTTAAGCGTTTTTGCCTCTATTGCTTCTCCATCTCTTAACTTGTATCCTGACATTGAAATCTCTGCAGATTAAAACATAAGCTACGTCTTTTGCCTAACATTGTGAATTTTTTTTTTCACAATAACAATAGAGATTTTTATTTCTAGATGAAAGCTGATTCTGTGAAGAGGCATTCCTCAGGCACCTTCTTGCCCTCCTCTTTCCACTCTTCTCACATCTTAGGAAAATACCTAGATCTTCAGTTTACCTAAATTCTAATTATACCTGCACAGATCAAATCTGTGTTCTTTTAATGTGCATTATATGCCAAATATAGCTTGTAATAATCTGTTACATTTTTTGATTCTCAGTAAATAGTTTCAGCACTTTGTTGATTATTCTGATGAATTAAATCTTAAGTGTTGACTATACAGACTGAATTCAAATTCTGAATGATGACATTCTTCATTTCCTTTCTCTTCTGTAAGGCTTACCAATTTTATCCAGCTTCTTTCATAAAACTGTCACATGCAAAATAGCAAAGGGCTGAGGGGATGGGAAGGGAGAGATAAACTGTTCCAAAGCAAAATCTTCTAGGATTTTCAGTATTTTAAATATCTAATATTTGGACTGTAAATGCTTTGCAACAGGAATTTTATCTTTGATGTTTTGCACAATCCTGGGCAGGCTGTGAGTACTAAAGAATTAATTACAACTTTTTTTGTTCTTACAACTTCTTCTTTTTAGTATTAATGTAACTCTATTAGAAAAGTTAAGTTATGTTCATTAATCCTAAATCTTGAAACACTGTGATTTCATGCAGTTATTAAAATTCAAGGTTCATGGTTGTTACCTACATCACCTTTACCGGGTTTACCAAATAATTGTTCACCTTTGTTGAGGGATAGAGCTGTCATCATTTTTGTCACCTCTTCAGATGTAATATAGTTGGATAAAATTAGGAAGTATTTTTCTAGATAAGGAAGAAAGTATCTAATTGCACCTGGAACAGTTAAACAGAGTACCTCATTTAAAGTACCACAATCATTATGAATGGCAGTAACACTCAAAAGGTCAAGTTTGGCAGCGTAATTCTTTTTAATGAATTGGGAGAAGCGATGTATTTCTTACTTCAATGTGGCAACATGATTTAGCTTGGAAACCTCCCTATTCTCTGAAGTATCTGTTTCTATTAGCTCCACGTGCACACCTTGCTAGGCCATGGGAAAAAGATAAGTATTTTCTAACCTATCATAACTATGTAAAGTACTTTAAATGCTTTAAATAGGAGACTACTTTCTAACCCAGGTCACTTAGACTAAACCAGGTGCAGAAACTATTGCATGAACAGATGTGCTAGCAGATCTGATCATGCAGTATTCTTTTCTGGATCATGACCTTTTCACTTAAATCCTCTTCAGGGAGAACAGGACATATGACTGACTGCAGCCCGCTTAAGTCCAAGTTACAAACATTGCTCTGAATCTATAGCATACCATATACTGGTAGGAAATAGTATGAAAAGCTCAGCTTTTTATTCTCTGGAATGTACTATGGAACAAGAAGCACTTAGGAGACAGGAGCCAGCTTTTGGAACCGAAAGCAACATAGCTGCCATAATTAATTAGGCAGTTGTGTAAATAACAGAATTTGCTTTTGAGGAACATAACAGAAATAGTTTGAGGAGATATCGCTGTAGCTCTATTCATTTATTGAAAGCAAGGTGTCACTAAATAGCATTGAGTTCTTGCATTATGCTTTCTGAACACTCAACTAGTTCTAGGCTTAGTCTATATTTCTTTTTAAGATATTGCTGACCATTCAGAAACAGCAACTCTCTAGGCATAGATTTAATTTTAATAGATATGAAGACAAGAGTATCTGCTTGTCCTTTTGTTACACAATTTATATATGGTTTATGGACTGGAATGGACTCCTCAATTAGGTTGTGCTCCTTGCTGTTGCAGGCCCTTACATATATTGACTTAATGGATTTCATCTTAAAGTTTGTTAGGCCTTTTTGCTTCTACACTGGCAGGCTTTTTTACTATTTAGAAACCTTTTCCTCACTTCGCAATTCTCATCTGAAGGATTAGGAATTGTTAAAACTGATTATACTATTAAGTAGGAAACACTGTCAGCAATTACCAAAAGTATTTTCAAGGAGTTTCAAAGTATTTGCAGGCACCATGGAGAAAACATCATGGACTAGTACATACGGATATGAATAAATAGGGGTAGTCAGATAAAATTAAAAGGAGACAATGATCTGGATTACCAAAAAAATTAATAAGGTAACAAGACATGTACAACTGGGTTAGACAAAATGCTAGCAATAAATTCTGTGCAGCGTTCTTGCAGTGACAGAAGGGTTTGACTTTGTGGCGAGTTTGATTATTCTGCATGGATTATCCTGTGTATCTGAATTTCTGTATGTATCTTTTTTTTACCCATGTGAAAGCAAGTAATTATATTAAGTTTCCTGTGAAGTGGTTTGTGTTGTTGAGGATTTGGTCTTACTTGTACATAGCTAAAGACATTTGAATTTGTTTCTCTGTTTTCATGCAAGCCTGGATATAAATGCTTTCCTTGTAAAATCGGATGTGTTAACTTGGGGGCTGGCAATGAAATAATAAAGGTGAGATGAAAGCTGGTTATTTATTCTGTTGGAAACAAGTATCTATGACAGTCCTGTGTTGGTCTAGCCGTTGCTGTCTTTTTTATCTTGTGTCCTTGTACTTGATGATTTGTGTAGGAGTTGTAAGTTCTACCTCCTCTTTGTGGCATCATTTTCTTTAACAGTGTTGTTTCATGTCTGGTGATACTTTCAGCCAGACTTTGAGATTTGCTTGTCCTTGTTCTGTGGACAAATGTGCTTGACTGTAATGGAACTCGGTATCATTCACAGTGTTTAACAGTTGCATTCAAACTCCAGAAGGATGTCTAGGTGAGTTAACAGATTAATAAAACATTTCTGGTTTACTGCAAGTGTAATTCGATCTTTGTGTTTTTACGTGAATTTGATGGAACTTACTCGGTAGATAATACAACAAGTTGCAGAAGGAAGTTGACCTCATTAGTGCCCCCAAAGACACTTTTAAGAAAAATAAGTTCTCCCCATCTTCATCTCCAGCATTTATCTGAAGCATTTTCCCATTTTGGTCTTCTCTGAGTGTAAAAAGCAGTCTTTTTCTTCAAGCTAAATTAAAACCTTTTGTATTTTATTGATCATCTGTGATCATCTGTGTGATCAGACCCTTTGCTAATGTTATTACAGATATATTTCTGCACTTAACTTTCCATTAAACCCTATTTGGTGTTATCAAGCCCAAGCACCGTACAGCTTTCACTTGTGATTTTCTCCATGTTTGGAGACTAAGGAATTTGATTCTAGCATATGGTGCATGTTTTCTTTTTCATAGCAGTAGTGATTGTGCACCGTCCCAGGAAGCTATATTTGAACCTTTCAGTTCCCCTTGTGCAGAATCAGATTCACATAAACCTTCACTTCTGCAGCCTGCCTTCAGGAATTTCTGTCATTAGTGATTGAAAAGACACAGATGATGAATTAGGCAGATAGTTTTATAACACATTTAATAACTTAGTGACAAAATGGCCTGGTCCTTTCTTTAAGCAGAATTATAGAAATTACTGTATTATAGAATTCAAAATGTTTGGGCTGGTTTTTGTTTTGTTTTTGAAAGAAAGAATAGGCTCTGGGAAGAGCCTGTGAGAGTAATATGAATTGCATCCTACAGCATATCTGATATTTAGGGGAGGACTTCCTTACATTTCCGTGTTCTATACAAATTTCTTTCAATGTATTTAAAATTGCTTCAATTTTTGGAGAGTTTTTCTTTTCAGAAGGGTCAGTAAAGCTATTAATATTACAAAAAGACAAGTGTTTGGACCCTTTTTTTAAAATAAACATTTTTTTAAGCTCCACGTTAATTAGAAGTTTTTTCTACCATAATGCAAAATGTTTTTAGTAAGTATTGAAATTTTAATTTAAAAGCTGTTGTTATTTTTTATTTGTTTTGAAGTCCATTGACTTTTCTTCCACACTTCAGTTTGTTCATTTTTTGTTGCAGGAATATCTTGCTTATGCAATATAATTCCCTGATCCTTAAGCATATCTTCTATGTATTAACGCGTTACATTTAGCAAGAGTTTTACGTACAAATCTTCAACTGGCCTATAACCAAAAGCAAGGGCTGCCACATAAAATCCACGCCAGGGGCTTTTATCAGTCTTTAGATTGCTGCTTCCCTCCTAGGGCTTTAACAGATGACTTTTGGCATATGACTGTAAGTGAGGTAAGATGGGACTCCCTTCTTCTCGCTGCTATTATTTCTGAGTTGTCTTTTTACTGTAGACTACTGTAATTACTGCATTATTGTAATACCTTTTTAGTAGCACCGTTGATACTCACTTCACACTGCAGTTACTCCATTTCAGGAACCAGAATTGCGCTAGGGTACAAGGTCCGTGTGTTCCCTCTTGCCAGCTCCACTGCAGGAGCGGTAACTTCTGGCAGAATGGTGCAATAGGCAGCTGGGAATAGCAACAACTTAGGCTGCCATCGCAGACCTTCTTCATTAAAACCCATGATAAAGAATTATTTGTATTGTACTTCAGTAAAATGCAAAGTACTGTACTCCATCATCTTCTGAAGTCTGAACATCTGAATGTTGGGGTCAATGATTTGTTTTTTAATATCCTTATATTCCGGCTTTGTTGCCTTTAATTTTTCAGAAATTTTTCATTTTTCCATGATTTAATGACATGTTTCACCTGCTACATAGAAGATACTACTGTAGAGGATTAATATGGATGCAAAATTAGTTTTATTTTTAATTCTTCTGTAATGCTTGTAGTTCGATTATTACAAACCTCATCTTTGTTGAGTTTTAAGACATATTTACAAGGAATTTGTTAATTTAAAGGATTTGTACAAAGTAACTGAACTAGGCCCTTAATCAAAGTCCTTAGGTTCTGTTGCTGGTTCTGTACAAAGAGGTGTGCTTATGTTTTAATTGCATTTTTAAATGCATGAAATGATAAGCCAAGGACATTCCTAAGAGATCTCTGCTTTTTTTAAACCAGCTGTAAACATCAGCTGCCAAGGAGACACCTGTGTCAGATAATGGGTATCCTCCTCTGAAGAATGGGAATTTTGCAGAATATTCATGTTTTAAAATAAGGCTAACTTGTGTAAAAGAGTACAAGACTTATTGTCTTTTCAAAAGGTTTATTAGCTGGATATTTTATCTGAGTAATTAGTCATAAAAATTGGCATTTTATCCTTTTCATCCTGCAAAGAAAACCTCAGTTTTCTTAAGATGTGTCCATCTCAAAACTGATGTCTCTGAAGGTTTTGGAGAGCTTGTTAAACTTTAAGAAGTGCTTGCTTGGAAAGTATTATACAAAAGGCACTCTTCCCTCTAACTCTTCCCTTTAACTTGAAGGTTACAAAAACTTGTCCCCCTCATGCTTACGGTGTGTATGTTTTTGTAGGATGGTTATTTGTGACTAAGATTAACCTTTCTATAAGAAGCCATGCTTTTGTTTCATGAACGGAATAGTGAACTGATGGAGTAATGGTTTACTAATGTAAGAATCCCCTTGCACATAAATACCTGGCTTTGATTGGAAAAATAATCAGCTGTACTGCTTAACAGATGCAGAAAGATGAAGGTCTCATCAAGGATTGATGAGAAAAAAAGACATTCATTTAATGACTGTTTTAGTTTAATAGTTTTCTTGTGTAGCTGCATCAATTTATGGTAATACTCTTTTTGCAAGTGCTACATTCTTTTTCATAACTGTAAGAAGAAAAAATAACCCCTTCAAATGCCTCTCTCTTTTGCCTTATAGCATAAGCAAACAAAAAAGTGCAGGGAAGGATATTTTGCAAACTATACTTGGAACACTATGTATCCTTAAACACTGCTTCTTTACAACATTTTTATGCAGTGACTATCTATCATACTTCTTAAACCAAAATATCAAATATAGTAGTTGAGTGCATATTTTAGATGGTTTTGTGAGGCTTACCACTATTTGTCTAACAGAATAATTTTATTTTATGGTTTCCCGACATTTTGCAGAGAAAATAAACGCCGAAGATAAAATATTTTCACCTTTTAAAACTCTTAGATGATCTGCAAAAATCTATCACAGAGATTCAAAATAAAAAATCTCTTACGTAAGTGGTGCATATTTTACTGAAAGCTGTAACTTACCTTCACAAGCAGGCTTACTCATAGAAATGCCATGTCCATTTTAAATAATTAAAGCTAGGACTGTGTAAGGATTCATGACATTAATCTTTGGTAAGTGGATGAGTTTCGCTAATTTTTCACTATAAAATTTGGCTTCTAATTCTCACAGCAATTCCTGTAGCATTTCCAGGTTTATCAGCATCTGTCTTGATGTACGGATTGCAGAGCTAGCCTCAGGGAGTGCCTAACTCCTCCCCTGCTATCTGGTTTACCTCTGTTCATCTCCTTAGACATATAGTAGACATTTCAGGTAGTGTCACTCCTCAGCTCTTTGACTCCTTATTCACCATAGCTCCCTAAGTAATTTTTTTGCAAGAGATACTGCTTCCTAGGATAAATCTATTATCCAGTATAAGTATCTGGCTTTCTTCTAAAATACATGATTGTGTATGGGCATATCAAAATATATCAAATGTGTTTCCTTGTACCCAGGCCACCAAGTAAGCCATGTAAGTTATTTTTAAACCAAGTATTGCTATTGAAACAAGCACTTGCACTCAGTTACATGAATCAGTTTCAAAACTGGTATAGTCGGCATCACTGACTTTGGCAAAGTTGTTACTGGATAAGTTCTGACTCCAGGCAGCATTTCCAGTGTTTCAAACACATGTGTATGTTTGATTTTGATCGTATTAGTGTTCCAAATGATATGAATAGGACTAATTCACATCCTTAAAGTTAAGCATATGCAGAAGTGTGTGCTGGATCAGACTCTAATTTAGCTCCGTTGTAGTCACTGAAGCACTGGTGCTTTACTCCTTTGCGAGGTCTCGCCTACAGTGACTGAGACTGTGTTTGAGAGCTATAGTGTTGTCATCATGCAGTTAATAAAAACAGCAGCATATTTTAAATACTGTTCTAATTTGAATGATAATTGAGATCATAGCTGACCTCTTGGACAGCAACCTCCCTGGAAAACTTTATTAAAGTTCTCACAGTTTTAACAGGAATATATGAATTAACACAGAGACCTAGG